CTCACCCGAACTCTCCCCTTCTTCGTATGTATCTTTTCCCCCGAAAAATTCTTTCTTCAATCAACATCCCGACGATCGCGCCGATCCTCGTAGTGTGGCTCCGCCTTCGTCTTCTACTCGTGAAGGCCAACTGAAGTTGCGCACAACTCCAGTTTCTCAATGGTGACTGCCTTCGTCAACATGTTCGCCGGATTTTGACTCCCCAAAATCTTCATTAAGTGCAACTTTCCGTCCTCGATCAGCGAGCGTATAAAATGGTATTTAACGTCGATGTGCTTCGTTCTGGCATGATATACTGGATTCTTGGCAAGATGTATAGCGCTCTGGCTATCACAATAAAGAACTCCTCTCCCTTGCTTCAGATCCAACTCTTCCAAGCACCCGTTCAACCAGATCATCTCCTTGCTTGCTTCAGTCACCGCGACATACTCAGCCTCGGTTGTAGACAAAGTCACAATCTTCTGCAGACGTGAGACCCAGCTCACTGCTGTCGACGCTAAGGTATAAACATACCCCGTGGTGCTTCGCCTCGTATCATGATCACCGGCGAAGTCCGCATCCACGTATCCCTGCAGCACCAACTCCTTCCTCCTGAAACATAGTGGCTTGTTCGTTGTTCCCCTCAAGTACCGCATTATCCACTTCACGGCCTCCCAATGCTGCTTCCCTGGATTGCTTGCAAATCTGCTCACAACTCCCACTGCATGGGCGATGTCCGGCCTCGTGCAAACCATCGCGTACATGAGACTCCCAATGGCTGAAGAATATGGCACCCTGCTCATATGCTCTCTATCTGCATCTGTCTTAGGCGATTGCTCCTCAGATAACTTGAACTGACTTCCAAGGGGTGTGCTAACAACTTTAGCATTCTGCATGTTGAACCTCTGAAGTACCTTCTCAATGTATTCAGCTTGGCTCAAACTCAATGTCCCTTCAGCTTCATCCCTACTGATTCGCATCCCTAGAATCTGCTTCGCTGCACCCAGATCCTTCATTGCAAATTCCTTTGCTAGCTGCCTCTTCAAACTGTTTATCTCTTCTAAACACGGTCCTGCTACCAACATGTCATCAACATATAATAACAAAATAATGAAGCTGGACTCGAACCTTTTGAAATAACAGCAATGATCCGAATTGCATCTTCTGTAGCCATTGTTCTGCATGAAGTTATCAAACTTCTTATACCACTGTCTCGGAGCCTGTTTCAAACCATATAAGCTCTTCTTGAGCTTGCACACCATCTCTTCCTTTCCTTCTTCAATGAAGCCAACAGGCTGCTTCATGTAGATTTCTTCATCCAAGTCACCATGAAGAAAGGCAGTCTTCACATCTAACTGCTCAAGGAAGAGGTCTTCTGCAGCTACCAAACTCAACACCACTCTGATGGTTGTGAGTTTCACAACAGGGGAAAATATCTCCGTGTAGTCCACTCCTTCCCGCTGTTGAAACCCTTTCACTACTAATCTGGCCTTGAATCTCTTGCTTCCATCACTCTCCTGCTTGACCCGGTAGACCCATTTATTGTGCAAGGCTTTCTTCTGTGCAGGTAGCTGGGCTAACTCCCATGTCTCATTAGTGAGTAGAGAATCCATCTCCTCCTGCATCGCATGCTCCCACTGCTGAGATTCACTCACTTGCACTGCCTCTTCATAACACTCCGGCTCTCCGCTATCTGTTAAGAGTAGATAATCAAGTGACGAGAGGTATTTGGGATTTGGTTTGGGTACCCTAGATGACCTCCTAGGCTCCACGCCCTGGGTAGTAGCTTCTGCACCTGTAGTCTCCTCCGTTCTACGGTCAGAACTGACATCGTCGCCCCCATCTGGAAGTTCCTCCAAATCCATGTACTCGGATCCACCTGTATCCGTAGTGCTGCTCCCACTGCTTTGGCTATCCTTGGCATTGTCCCTGTCCTTGTACATCACCTCCTCATTGAATATCACATCCCGGCTCCTGATGATCTTCCTGTTCTTCTCATCCCAAAGGCGATACCCGAACTCATCAATGCCGTATCCAATGAATGTGCACTTCTGTGACTTAGCTTCTAGCTTGTCCCTGACATGGTCACTGATATGAACATAAGCCACGCAACCAAATACCCGCAAGTGTGAGAGATTTATCTTCTTTCCACTCCAAACCTCCTCTGGAATCCCAAAATCTAATGGAACTGATGGCCCGTGATTAATAAGGTATGCTGCCGTATGCACCGCATCCGCCCAAAATGTCTTAGGCAGACCTGCATGTAATCGCATGCTCCGCGCACGCTCTGTCAAGGTCCTGTTCATCCTCTCTGCAATGCCGTTCTGCTGCGGCGTCCCTGGAGTAGTCCTCTCTAAGCGAATCCCATTCGTAGCACAGAACCTCTTGAACTCCTCCAGCTCGTATTCTCCACCATTATCTGATCTCAAGCACTTCACCTTCAGATCTGTCTCGTTCTCGACCATGGCCTTCCACTTCTTGAAGATCTCGAACACCTCTGACTTGTGCTTCATGAAGTAAACCCACACCTTCCTCGAGTGATCGTCGATAAAGGTGACGTAGTATCTCGAACCGCCAAAAGAAGACTGATAATCATATTTTATTACAATTTTATACCCTCATTATCTATTTTACATGAATAAATATACCATTAATAATTATTGTTAGATTAGTTTGCACATAATTGAATGAAAATATAAATAAATATTATTAAATGTAAAAACCCCTCAAAAATCTCTCTTCTCTATTTTGTAGTATTTAGAAGCCCATGAAGCAAAAGCTTAAAAGAGGAAAATGATTGAAGCCCAAATAGCAAAGCCCATTAAAAAAAATATATACACCAAAGAGTTAGAATGGACTTGGATGTAAAGAGTGGAATGAAATGGACTTGGATGCAAAAGAGTTTTAAGACCGAACTAATGCATAGTTGGACAAAAAAATCAAGCAAATGATGGCACATCAACAAATAATTTACTCATGGGCCGGAGACTTACCTGCTGATTAAAATGGAGAAAGGACCATGAAATCATTTCTTTGAAGACCAGACTTGGTGGATTTTCACAAAAAAATCACTGCTGCAGACTTGGACCGGACATTCATTTGAGTTGGGCCGGATTGTTGTGGTTGATTTCCATTAACTAGCTCTTCAATTTGGATGCTTTGATTTTGAAGAAATGGCCAGACAAGTTGCTGCAGCTGGGTTTTGAATGGACTTGAGTTTGGAAAATGAGAAACAAAACTTGGGCCGGACTTCTTTTACTTTGTGCTGAAACAAGATTCCTCTTCAGCTTTGGTACGTGTCTCACGTTCTTCAAATTCCACTTAGAGCCCTTTATCTGTATCTGAACGTCGCCCTTTCCAACAATATTGCAAGGTTCATTATCCCCCAAGTATACTTTACCAAAGTCCCCTGCTACATAGTTCTGAAGTAGTTTCCTATTTGCAGTGGCGTGGAAAGAAGCTCCTGAGTCGATGACCCAAGAATCAGAATCGCTATCCATAGCAAGGATCAAGGCATCCTGCACGATATGAGCCTCCTGCTCACCCGCATCCTTCTTTGGTGCTTTACAGACCGAAGACATATGGCCCTCCTGGCCGCAGTTCCAACACTTCCCTTTGATAGACCTAACCTTCGAGTTCGGCCTCTTCTTCACTGATTTCGACCGATTCCTGTTCTGGTTCCCTTTCTTCTGGCTTCTGCCTCTCTGCTCGAAACTTAGGGCTGAACCTGAACCTTCTGATTCGGACGATTTCCTTCTAACCTCCTCGGATAGAATCATGCTAACAACCTCATTCAGCTTCAACTTCTCTTTCCCCGCCGAATTGCTGATTGCCGTCACACAACCTGCCCAACTATCCGGCAACTGCGATAGTAGTAGAAGGGCCTGCACTTCGTCATCGAACGTGATGTCCACGGAGATAAGTTGATCAACAATCGTGTTGAACTCGCTGAGGTGCATCGTGAAGGACCGTCCTTCTGCCATCTTGAGGTTGAAAAGAGTTTTGACTAGATGCACCTTGTTTGCTGCCGACGGTTGCTCGTACATCTTCGCGAGCGCTTCCATAAGCCCCACCGTCGTCTTCTCCTTCAGAATATTGTGGGCTACTGATTTGGCGAGCGACAACCGGATTTGCCCTAGAGCCTTCCTATCCAGTACCTCCCAATCACCATCTGACTCCGTCGTCTTCTTTCCCTTTTCCTTGCCCAGAAGCGGGCGATACAAGTCCTTCTGGTACAGATAGTCCTCCATCTGCGACTTCCAGTAGGCGAAATCCGATCCGTCGAACTTCTCAATCTTTGATTTGCTTTCCTCTGCCATGGCTTTCACACAAATTGCTGAACGAAGCTCTGATACCAGTTGTTGGGGATTCGAAACAATCAATCGAACCCTTGCCCTTCCGGACCTTGTGTTGAAAGTAGGAAAGTAGGAATAAACCACAAATAAAGATCTAACCTTGTAAAAAACAGTAAAAGAGACGAACACACAGATTTAACGAGGTTCGGCAACGTGCCTACGTCCTCGGGAGCCACACCACACAATCTTTCTATTAATTGAAGAAGAAAATACAAGCTCTCAAACAAGGGGTAAATCTCTCTGAGATTCTCTCTCTCTTAGCAGCCAAAAAGCTCTCTTTTTGATGTCCTTACAAACCCTAGAAACGTTTGGGTATTTATAACAAACCCCAGCAGAACAGGATTCCTAGATAAAATAGGAAACAGCGAATCTGCGTCGCGATTCGCGGTCGACCGCCGTGCCAAGGCCGGTCGACCGGCCAGAGAAAAATCTGTTTACAGGGTCCTGTGCACATTTGCGGTCGACCGCAGCGGCCACGCCGGTCGACCGACCAGAGCGAAAACTTCTTCTCAGTCTCCTGCAGTGCACGCGGTCGACCGGCTCTGCCACTGCGGTCAACCGCACAGTCTTCTGACTGTTTTCTTCGTCTTTTCGATTGCAGCTTTGGGTCTACACACTTAGACTAACAAATGGCTCATCCTAGACGGTAACAAACTTCGCGGACATCCGGAGCACCATCTAGAATGGTCAATGTAGACGGAATTGGATCCATCCTAGACGGAATTGGAGCTCCATTTATTTCATAATTAAAGATGCATAGTCTTTATGAGGTTACAGATTTTCTCAAAGCCTAGAACTACTCTCCAAGAGATTACATCTTCATTTCGTGCCTTTGTTCATTCAAACCAAAAGAACTATCAAATTAAGGTGAGGAGTCAAGAAATGGATAGTCCGTGTACCCTACAACCGGATCAGGACTATAGAATGTGCTGCGATCATACTCGTTTAAGGCCGCGTCAATCTCAAACCTCTTGGGCAAGTCAGGGTTAGCCAAGAAAAGCCGACCATATGAAACCAAATCAGTGTAATCATCATCCACCACCTTATTCCCTTCCTCCCTATCGTACCCTCCGCTTGCAATGAACGTACCCTTGAACGCCTTTCTCATCAGTGACAATCTATGAGGAATCTGCCTCCGGCCTTCGACAATGGACATTCTTGGTTCCACCATGTGGAGATAAAGGATATTGAACTTATTAAGGGACTCTGCCATGTAGAGTCCAAGGGCGTCTGAGTTTGAGTCGTAGGCGTCCATGTAGTCAGCAAAGGGAGAGAGTCGGACCCCAACTCGATCAGATCCAACTTCATCGACCACGGCGGATACTACTTCGAGAGGAAAGCGGCAGCGGTTTTCTAAGTTGCCACCGTAATCATCAGTCCGATCGTTGACGCTGTCCTTCATGAATTGCTCGAGGATGTAGCCGTTTGCTCCATGGATTTCAACTCCGTCGAAACCTATTTAAATCATACAGAAGACACCGAAGAAAATAATATATATTGCATAATATTGTCGTACAATGAAGTGATTGGCGTTGTAACTATTGGACCAAAAATGGAGAAGAATAAAGTAGCATATATATTATTCACCAGCTTCCATCGCATTTCTTGCAGCAAGTCTGAAGTCGTTGACAATCTGAGGGATCTCATCGGTTCTTAATCGCCGAGGGGGCGAATATTCCATACCGGTGCCATCAGGTGGAACCACTTTGTCGGTGCTGGAGATGGGTGCTTGCCCATTCGGCTGATAACCTATGAAATATATTTGAAGCACTGTTTTAATTAATGTTTACATATAAACACCACCTTAAAATTGATCACAAATGAGAAAATGATAAATGTAGATATGAAGTTTACTGAAATTAGAGGCTCTTCCCGACATGCCAGATTTGCAGCAAACAGAAAGATCCGCCATCTTCTCATGGACAGCATGCACAACTGGCTTCCATGCGTTCACCTGCTCTTTTGTCCAAATTCCTGGAGTCTGTGGATACCTAGTAGAATTTTTGAATACAGATGAGAAACCAATATAGGCAGTATAACTTGCTTATATAAACATAAGCTAGCCTAATTAAATGATCAGTTAGTACCCTCGAGCAGTTTCAGAGATTACGGTGGCTTCGGCTATGAGCAAGCCTCCTCTGGTAGTCCTCTGAGAGTAGTACAAGCCGGCATGAGGTTGAGGAACATTGTCATAAGATCTACATCTCGTCAATGGCGCTAACACAATCCTGAGAACAGCAGCAATCACTTAATTTCGCCCAAATAAAGGACACAGCTATTTCAATATTAACACCAATTTCCATCAAATCTGTCCCCTATAAGAACAACTAGCTAGTAGTAAATTTGAAATATTACCTGTGAGAGAGTTCAAACTTTCCCATTGTGTATGGAGTGAGAAGTGGGAGTAATTTTGAAGCCATTTCTTCAAACCCTTTTTCTTATTAAGTTGAATATTCACTCACAAAAATAGGATGGTTGGTTGGTTAATGAGAAATATAGCAGGTTTGATTGGGCTATTAAATTATATAGAGTTTAATTAGTCTTTGTCGAGATTCGAGCGTATAGTGGGTAGGTTCAGCTTTTGATATGATCATCGGCGACATTGAACCAGATCTGAATCACGTAAAAGGTGGGGGAAAATGCCCTTAACATTTTAGGAAGTCATTTACTTTTACTAATTAGCACTCTTTGGTCACATGAAGAGGTGATAGCGAAGTAAGCTCACGGCTCACGAGGTAGTCCTGAGATTCCCCAGCCATTAATGTGAACACCCTCATTTAATAAGCAAAATAATATTTTAGTGTTTTTTATTTTAGTTTTATTTTATATTATTTTTTTTTTGGTAAATGAAAGTTTTTATTCATCACCAATCTGAAAAATATGTGTACATCAAGAATCTCACATTTTGAGATATCAATACAGAAACCTGTATCTAAAGCTCAAGAAAAGAAAACATATAAATGCTGAGCTTTTGTAAACCTGTATCTAAACTGGTTGCATTTGTGAAGTCATAGTGATAGCACCCAGTTTTTGCTTTCGGCATCTATTTTGCTGTTTATAATTGCCGTCATCAAGTCCACCTTAATCAGTTAAACTAGCTGCTCAACAGTCTTGTATTTTTGATTGAAAATTCTCACATTGCGCTCCATCTATATGTTATAAATTGATGAAGTTAAAGCCATTCTTTTGACACTGTGTTTGAAGCTTTTCCCCCGCAAACTGAAACTATACCAGTTCAATAACTGGTTCCATTCACAACTCCTTCACTTGAAACAGAGCCAGTCCATTATTTTGTTCCAGACATCCTTGGAGAATTTGCAGTCAAAGAATATGTGATTCCTACATTCAGTTTCAGCTCCTGAGCATAAGATGCACTGATTAGTTTGAATTATCCCTCTCCTAATCAATTTGTCTTGCGTTAGAAGCCTATCTTGGACAGCTAACCAAGAGATAACAGAATGTTTTGGATAATTGAAGCCTCCCCAGATAGTAGTGCACCATGGTACTCTGTTTTCAGTAGGGGATAGAGCAAGATATAATGCTGATAATTTGATCTTTGAATTCCTGCAGCAAGATCTAATTAAGCTTTGAAGATTCTCCAAACCTCCACAGAAAGCTACTGTTTTATTCCTGACTTTTAAGAACTGTTTCCACATCCATGAGTCTCCAGTTTTTACATCCACTTGCCATATATTCAAGTGTTTAAGATATGTGCCATGTACCCATTTGATCCATAACAGCTCCTTATTAGTGTGAATGTCCCAAATTGTCTTCAGAGCTGCTGGCATGCTCCAGATTGTAGAAGAGAAGATTCCAAGACCTCCATACATTTTTCCTAAGCAGACTTTGTCCCAGAATACCAGAGCTGGTTTAGTAGAATGGTCATTCCTCCCCCAAAGAAAATTTCTACAAAGTTCATCAACTTTTTTAAGAACTTTGACTGGAAGAACAAAGCAAGAGGTCCAATATACTTGTATGCCTAGAATGACACTTTTTATTACTTGCAATCTGCCTGCATAAGATAATTTTTTAGCCTTCAAGCAATTTTGGAGTTGACTGGAAACTTTGTTGAGAAGAGGGTTGCAATCTTGAAATGTTAGCCGCTTGCACACAAGTGACATTCCCAGATATTTGATAGGCATTTTGCCTTCAGGAAACCCAGGTACTCTTGAATTGTTGCTTTAACAGATTCACCAACTCCACCATAGAAGATAGCACTCTTGCTAGGATTAGCCTCAAGACCAGAAGCTTGACTAAAGTTTGTGATACATTGTTTAAGTTTCTGAATAGAGGGAAGGTCTCCTTTGCAAAAGAGTAATAGGTCAGAAGTTTGTGATACATTGTTTAAGTTTCTGAATAGAGGGAAGGTCTCCTTTGCAAAAGAGTAATAGGTCATCCGCAAATATTAGATGAGATATTTTTTGCGTCTCCTTTGCAAAAGAGTAATAGGTCATCCGCAAATATTAGATGAGATATTTTTTGCTTTCCACACTTAACATGATATTTAAAATCCCTGTCCTGATTCAGAAGGCCTAAACTTCTTGTAAGATACTCCATAGCCAAGATAAACAGATATGGGGAAAGAGGGTCTCCTTGTCTTAGACCTCTTGCACCTTTGAAGTAGATATGGGGAAAGAGGGTCTCCTTGTCTTAGACCTCTTGCACCTTTGAAGTACCCATGTAAAGATCCATTGAGAGATATGGAATATCTAGGGGTAGAACCATGTAAAGATCCATTGAGAGATATGGAATATCTAGGGGTAGAAATGCATGTCATGATTCTGTTAACCACCTCATTAGGGAACCCCATGACCTGGAGAATATCTTTAATAAAATTCCAGCTAACAGTGTCAAAAGCCTTCCTTATATCAATGTTAATCATAACTCTAGGGGAGATGTGCTTTCTACTATAGTTTTTGACCAATTCATGAGCTAACAGGATATTATTTGTAATATGCCTATGCTTAACAAAAGCACACTGAGCATCACTAATGAGATATCCCATAACAGATTGTAATCTATTTGCAAGGATTTTTGAAATGACTTTATATATACAATTGCAGCATGAAATAGGTCTGAAGTCAGAGGGAGTGCTTGGGTATTGTACCTTAGGTATCAAAGTGATTGAAGTTGAGTTAACAACCCCAAGTAACTTTCCAGTAGTGAAGAACTCATCAATAGCTAGTATAAGCTCATCTCCAATAACAGACCATGCTGACTTGAAGAAAGAAGTTCCATAGCCATCTGGGCCGAGAGATTTATTATTAGCCATAGAGAAAACAGCTCTCTTGATTTCATCTTTTGAGATTGGTGCTGAGAGATCCTTGATGTGATTTTCATTAAAGCATGGACCATTCTTTATAATCCTGATGTCTGAAGTTGTTGTTTGAACAGAAGTACCCATGATGTTCCTAAAATAGGTGATGAGCTCATTTGCAATATCCTAACTTTCTGTAATTCTTTCTCCAATGCTGTTGTTGAGGACTAATACTCTGTTTTGATGCCTATTTGCTTTGATTATTGAGTGGAAATAGCTTGTACATCTATCACCCTTGATACTCCATTGTATTCTTGCTTTTTGCTGGTAAAAAGATAGCTCACAATTCAGGAGCTTATTATAAGTAGACAAGCAACTCTTTTCTTGGTTTATAAGAGCAGAATTAAAGGGATCATCCTGCAACTTTCTTTGAGTATCCTCTAGTGCATTTTGAGCTCTTAGAACCTGCTTACTAATATTAGCATAATGCTTCCTGTTGAGCTCCTTCAAAGCACTTCTCAAAAGTTTGAGTTTAGAAATAACTGAATACATTTTGAAGCCATCTACTTGTGTTTGCCATATTGAGTTCACTGTGGGCAAGTAATTGTCATGATTTGTCCACATGTTGAAGAACTTAAAAGGCTTTTTTCCTTTTTTCTCCTCTTCATATACTGAGACTAATGCAGGTGAATGATCTGAAAAGTTTGGAGTTAAGAATTCAACATGACTTGAATTATACTCCTGAATCCATGCTTCATTTACAAGAGCCCTATCTAACCTGCACCAGATTCTGGTATCTTGGTCCTGTTTATTATTCCAAGTAAAAAAATTACCTAAAGTTTTCAGATGTAGTAGCTGACAATCCTCTATGAAAGAATTGAAATCTTGTGTGTCTGCATCAGTGAGTGTTACTCCACCTATTTTTTCCTCATCATTGATCATAGTGTTGAAATCTCCACAAAGAAGCCATGGAGAATTCCCAGCACCTTGATGAATTTGTAGGAGTTCTGACCATAAATTCTTCCTGCATTCTTGCTGATTGAAGCCATATACAGAAGATATGATGCAGTTTATCCTTCCATCTACAGACTTTACAGGACAAGTGATATGTTGTGGAGAGATGTGCTCAATTTGGATGTTAAGAAAGTCAGGGTTCCATAGAATTAATATTCTAGCTTTACCATTGCATGTTGCATTTGAAAACCATTTCCATCTGCTAGCTATCTTCCTTGCTACTGCGGGTATGTTAGCCTCCTTAATTTTTGTTTCAATTAAAGCTATGAATGATATTGAAAAATATGCTGCTTTGTCAAATGTTTCTTGGGGGATTTGTTTAATCCCCTAACATTCCAAAAGGAAAAGTTCATATCATTTTGCTTGTGCCCCCCTGTCCATAGTAGAGGGTCCAGATCACATACTATTGCTGACAAGGGAGAGAAGAAATTATTAGGGGAGAGCCTTTTTTTACCTTTTCCCCTTTGCATTTGCATCCATGAAGCCTCTGAATAAACTGCTTCCTTAGTTTTAGTGTTTATTGCTAAATCAGGTTGAAAACCATGCACAACATGTACGGGTCTTTTCTCAGCTGAAAAAGAAAATAATCCTTCTCTTTCTTTTTGTCCATCTTCTATTTCAACATTTTTTCCTCATCATTGATCATAGTGTTGAAATCTCCACAAAGAAGCCATGGAGAATTCCCAGCACCTTGATGAATTTGTAGGAGTTCTGACCATAAATTCTTCCTGCATTCTTGCTGATTGAAGCCATATACAGAAGATATGATGCAATTTATCCTTCCATCTACAGACTTTACAGAACAGGTCATATGTTGTGGAGAGAAGTGCTCAATTTGGATGTTAAGAGTGTCAGAATCCCATAGAATTAATATTCTAGCTTTACCATTGCATGTTGCATTTGAAAACCATTTCCATCTGCTAGCTATCTTCCTTGCTACTGCGGGTATGTTAGCCTCCTTAATTTTTGTTTCAATTAAAGCTATGAATGATATTGAAAAATATGCTGCTTTGTCAAATGTTTCTTGGGGGATTTGTTTAATCCCCTAACATTCCAAAAGGAAAAGTTCATATCATTTTGCTTGTGCCCCCCTGTCCATAGTAGAGGGGTCCAGATCACATACCATTGCTGACAAGGGAGAGAATGAATTATTTTTACCTTTTCCCCTTTGCATTTGCATCCATGAAGCTTCAGAATAATCTGCTTCCTTATTTTTGGTGTTTATTGCTAAATCAGGTTGAAAAACATGCACAACATGTACGGGTCTTTTCTCAGCTGAAAAAGAAAATAATCCTTCTCTTTCTTTTTGTCCATCTTCTATTTCAAC